AGTATTCCTTGTACTCTAAATTAGTCCTTAATAAAATGTTGATGTTTAGAAAAAAAAATTTATATTATATTATAATTGTTAAAAGAGGAAGTAGTTAATGTTTAAAGAAAAGACCACTTATTAAAGTCATGAAAATCTACATCTATCCATTCCCACAACTTATATAAATATTGAAATTAATTAAAGCGGTCATTATTATAATATTTTTAGTTTCTAACTTTTTCAGTATCACTACTATAATCTACATCTATTTTTTTAAAACTTTTTTATACACATCCATAGTAATTTCATAAACTAAACCCTCATTTTGATTCCTGAAATAGTAAGTGTCAAGCATTTAGTCTCTAAAATTTTTAAAATGTCACGTTAGTCCCTAACTTCTATCTCTGTCGGGCATTTAAGTTTTTACACTTAGACATTATTAATAGACAATAATAAAATGCTGACATGTGTGATTTATTACGTGGTAAAAACGACATCCTATGTAGTATGGTATATATTTTCATTTCATTTTAGTCATTGAGATTATCACTCGTCTGGCATTTTAATTCTTAAGATTGTCACCGACAGACATTTTAGTCTCTAATTCTTAAAACCTTTCAACTAACCATCATTCTTCTTCTTCATTCTCCTAAAAACTACCCTTCTTAGCTACCTTCTCACCATAACCAGTCTTAGTCTACTTCCATTCCAAAAGACTGGTGAGAGAAATCACTGAGCATTTCAAAGCTGATATTAGGTTTTAGAGCAGTGTCGTCTCTACTCTTCAAGAAGTTGCTGAAGCTTATCTTGTTTGTCTCTTTGAGGACACCAACCTCTGCGCCATTAAGCCAAGAGAGTTATCATTATGCCTAAGGATATTCAAAATGTGAGATAGTCCAACCAATAGATTAAAAGTGTTTTGATCTGTGTTAATTTGGTTCGAATGCATATCCAAATTAACAAACCATATTCTAATTTCTTTGGAATCAAGCATGCATTAAGATGCTATAAATGTTTTTCAATATCTTCCCGTTGATGTAAGAAAGTGACACCTCCTTTATTAACAGTTGAGAATTTCTGGTACATAGCTTTGAGATTTCGATGAGGAGCATTTTTGTGTAAGCTAACTAAAATCTTGTAGCTGAAAAAGGTAGTTTACAGGAAAATAAAGAAAAAGAATGATAAATAATTAAAAGGTTTTAAGAACCAAGGACTTAAATGTCTGTCGATGACAATCTCAATGACTAAAATGACAGACGAATGATAATCTCAAGGACCAAAATGAAATGAATATGTATACCCTACTGCATACAATATCGTTTTTGTCATGTAATCAATATTATGTATCACTTAACGTGACATGTCAGCATTCTATTACTATCTATTAACGTATTTGAGTCTAAGGACATAAATGCGCGCCAAAGATGGAAGTCAAGGACTAACATGACATTTTATAAATTTCATGGACTAAAATGCTTGACACTAACTATTTCAGGGATCAAATGAGTGTTGAGTGTTTAGTCTAGTTTCATAGTTATGTGCTTGTTGGGATACTGTGTCAAAACCTTAAAATTATTTATTTGAAATGATTTATTTTTCTTTAAAATTAGTTAATTAAATTTTTGAAGTATTTTTCATTTTTTTAAATTAAAATGATAATTCAAATATGATTATAATACATCTTTTTGTAAGGAAATTAAATTTGAATGGCATTATTCTAAAGTTAACTTATGAACTCTTAATTGAAACAAGTGCTGTAAAATAATTGATTTAGTCAATAATGATATGATGATGTGTAATGTTTGTGATACTCAAACGCCAAGAAGACCAAAATAAAGGATGTATTTACCCTATAAAAACATTTTTTCCAAAAAGACCAAAATAAAGGAAGTATTTACCTTACAAAAAAATTTTTTTAAAATGACAGGCACTAGATAGACAATAAAGCTATGTAAATATGGCATATAGACCACATATTTATACTATATGTAATGCTCATGGAATCTACCACTTTTACCTCTAGTGTGAATTTGTTCATTTTCTTGATAAGATGAAGTGGGTCAAAGAGCACAGTAGACCATTAGGCTTTTGTTATTTGAACATTGTTGGGAAAACACTGAGCATGTTTGTTTGTCAGTTATCTATTCCTAAATCATAAAATTAAAATAATAATGATACAGAATAACAAATAATAATAATAATAATGTTACATTGTTTTATAATTATTAATAATTATAAAGAGGTTACATAAATATTAGTATTATAACTATGAAACGCATGGGATATAAGACAAAAATTAGGAATTATGATGCAAGATTTTAATTTGAAATAAGAAATTAGTGTGCTTCACCTGCATGTTGTAATAACCATGACAAAAGAACATACGATTGATACTAATAAAAGATTTAAAGTGTGGAAGATTTATATATATTAGAACGAAGGTAGGGAAGAGTCAATTGTTAGTTGTTAATATGGTTAATAGATCTTATAGAGTTAGATTATAGTTTAAGGGATATATTTTTTTGTACATGGTGTTAAGGAGAAGTCATTCTCTGTTCAGGAGCTTACGAGATTCTTGTAATCCTAATTCTTTTTAAAGTGATCAATAAAATGGCCAATACTCTTCAGTCTTTTCCTTGATCTTCTCAAAACCCTAAAATTGGTCCAACTTGTCGAATACAATTCCCCATGTCAACAAGAATGAATGAAAGGGTAGAGGATCTTGACATCAAAATTTTGCAAAAATCGTTGTCTAATTTGATAAGGGAGATAAACATTACATGAAAAAAATTGTTGAAGGAGATACAGAAGATCAGAGGCTAAGGTAACAAAAGACCAATCATACATGGGCTCGCGTGGAGCATGCAGGAAGAGGAAACATTGATGTTAAGTTTCATTCTTTCGCCAAGAAGGTGGAACTTCCCACCTTCAATAGTGTTGACCCTATAGGATGAATTTGTATAGCAGAGACTTCTTTTGAAGTGCATGGACAAGTAAGGCCATGAAAGTGAAGTTAGCCAAGATTTGTACGAAGGGAACCACGATTCATTGGTTCAATTTGTGACGTGAAGAGGAGACCCCATATGGTATAATATGAAACAGGCCTTGATCGTTAGGGTTGGGAGCGATCATTTAGATAATTCTTTTGAGGAGTTGAAGTTCCTGAAGCAAGAAGATTCTATGGAAGAGTTCATTGAAGCATTTGAAGCTCTAGCCACTCAAGTTCCAAGGCTGCCTGAGGCTCAGTACCTTTGGGTATTTTGTTGGCGGGTTGAAAGAAGAAATCAGATTGTGATTATGAACTCTAAACCCACTAACTAGACGACATCCAATGTAATTAGTGAGGGAAATTGAGGTCGAGATTGCTAAAAGAGGTGAGACGTTCCAAGGCTCTCCCTAAAGCTCAAGGGGTGGATACTATCTTGGTAGTGGTAGACAACCTTACTAAATACTCCCATTTTGTTAGCATTTCACACCCTTATTCAGTGAAGGACATTGCTAGCATTTTTGTGAAGGAAGTGGTATGACTACACAGATTCCCGCAATCAATAGTCACTAATTGTGACAGGATTTTTATGAGCACTTTCTGGATTGAATTATTTAAGCAGGCAAGAACTAAATTGAAATTTAGTTCTGCATACCATCCACAAACGAATGGACAAACGGAGGTAGTCAATAGGTGCTTGGAGACATACATAAGGTGTTTTGCAGGGACCAAGCCAAAGCAATGGCCAAAGTGGTTATGTTAGGCTGAATTATGGTATAACACCACCTACAGTTCAACCACCAATACTTGCCCATTCAAGAGTTTATATGGAAGAGAACCACCGCCATTGATCAAGGGAGATGTAGCCCCATCCGCAGTGGAGGAAGCAAACCACCTGTTGGCTGAAAGAAATGCCATTTTAGATGAGCTCAAATGGCAACTAGACATGGCTCAAGTTCGCATGAAGAACCAGGCAAACTAGAAAAGAAGGGATGTAAAATTTGCAATAGGAGAGAAGGTCTATTTAAAGATCCAACCTTTTAGGTTGCGTTCCTTGGCCAGTCGTGTCAATCAGAAACTTAGCCCAAGATACTATAGACCTTTTGAAGTGCTGGAGAGAATTGGAAAGGTAGCGTATAAACTTAAATTGCCTGCTAAATCCATGGTACACCCAGTTTTTCATGTTTCCTTACTCCAGAAATGTATAGCCCCCGATGTCAAGAGCCAGCCTTTTCCAATGGGTCTTGCAGAAGATTGAAAGCTGAAGTTACAACTAGCTGAAATGATGGCAGTAAGAAGAAATCCACAAGGAGGATTGGAAGTTCTCATTCAGTGGAAAGATATGCCAGAGTTTGAGAGCTCATGGGAATTGGGAGCTGACATCCAACTAAGCTTTCCTCACTTCCACCTTGAGGACAAGGTGGTAGTTCAAGAGAGAGGTATTGTTAGGGATCGAATTTCGAATGGGATAAAAGTGTATAAAAGAAGGAAATTCAGGGGCAACTTGAGAAACAGTAAGTTAGGAGAGGAGTGTGAACCAGGTGGGCACAATCCTAACTAACTGTGAAGACGTGTGTGTGTGTGTCATGCTCAGGGGCGGGGTGAGAGAATGATTAGTAAACATTCTGTTATGAGAAAAGGGTATAATTGTTGGCTAGTGAAAAAGAGCAGGGGAAATTTTTTTGAATTAGGACTTGGAGCGTAGGAGCTACTTAGTGCTCCATTTTTACCATTCTTGTTACTGCATTTGTCTCTTTCTGATTTCCTTAATATCAGACAGTTTTCTTGCTGTTTCTTAGGTTGTTTCTATCATAGAACCATGGCAAGAAGAACATATGATTGATACTAATATAAGACCTATAAAGTGTGGAAGATTTATGTTAGGAGGAAGGGTAGGAAAAAGTCAACTATTACTTAGTAGTTAATATGGTTAATAGATCCTATAAATAAAGATAAGTGAGCAATAAAATTGCCAATACTCTTTAGTTTTTTCCTTGATCTTACTTCTCAGAACCCTAACACGTGTAATATTTTATCATTTCCACTAGTTATGAGTAAATTATGCTAAACATTTCCCTTGAAAACTTGGCTTTACTCCAAAATCAAGTTCTATTAAGAAACTAACAAAGTTTTGACTTCATACATTCACAATCAAATTGGTACTACCGTTGAAGCTTTTTAAGCAACCACCTTTTTCTTGCAGATGCATCCATAGCCACGAACATCCTAGCCTTCCTTTCGTCTTCTAGAAGTAAGCAAGCCTCCAAGAAGAGCTCATCATCCAAGTCTGGTACAGTTTGAAGTGCAGCAACTATGCATTCTATTGAGTTGTCTTTTTTCTCTTCAAAATCTTCTTGCATTTCACCTAGGACGAATTTTTGAATTTTTCTACCATTTGAGGAAGTCAACACAGCTTGAGATTTTCGCTTTCTTCTCCCATCAGCTGTTTTAAATTCCCTAGCTGAAGATTGCAGGTTTCCTATGATTTCGTTACTCTCCATCCCAAGATTATTATTATTATTATTATTTGTCTTCAATTTCATTCTCACACGGCCCAGTTTTCTATTTTGATTTAGATTCCCAAAAAGTAAGCACAAATCACTATAATTGTCTCGTAGGGTCTCTCCAAAAGTAACGGCATCTGGATACTCCTGCAAAATATCAGCTAGCAAAAATTATTTATCAAAGCTCCTCACAACCATTAAAATATATCTATTAGGTCATTCCATAGTTGGCCTATTAAAATGCCCAACACAGAGCACAAGCTGCACCAATCTCAAGCATAATTGCCAATGCAGTCATTAACCATAAGATGCATATGGAAAGCAGGTAGTTGTGTTAAATGAGAGTAATGAGTCAATGAAGTCCCTTCCTGAAATATATATATGTTGCCATTAATAACCAAAAGAAATACCTAATATAAAACCGATGGAAAGGTAATGCACCTCAAAATATGCCTGCCAAATATCATTTGCCCTTGACGTCTGCCCAATTTCATCCCAGGCAAAGTCATTCTGATTTAGAAGATATGTGACATCCTTATAGACTCTCATAAGACCAAAATACCGATTTTCTAGAGCATCTCTGTCACAAAGAAGTCCAAACTCTCTCTTGAAAGATGCAGTCATCCTGGACCAAGCTTTCTTACTGAATGTATCACCAATTTTATTCCCTCTGTTCAACTGCTCCAATAGAAGGCCAATCAGATAATGGTTCATTTTCACTGTCCAAGCTATTCTCATAGGTTCGTCATCAGCTAGGGAATGGCTGTACCTGTACTCCCAAACATCTATATATCCAAGCAGTAATTACAATTAAATGGTTAGTCTACATTTTGACACCCAAACAATATTAATGCAATCTAATAAAGTTAGGGTAATGACTTGCTCCTGAGTACCTTTTCGTTTTCAAATAAATCAACAACTTGTTTTGATATGTACGTCCAGAAAAACCAAGTTTTTCCATCATATATAATATATTAGGACTTAGCACTGATTCCCAATATCTAAATACAATATACAGAAGACAGCTATATAAGATGGAAAGATGAACAAAAAATATATCAGTACCCAGTTCATTATCCTTAGAAGCCCTATAGCAGTCAGAATAGTTTGAATTTCTGCCACAACTTGTATTTCCATATATCAAAAACAAATCATTGAAATTTGGAAGAGTTCTATTGCGGTATGCATTCATGTCAGGGTGTGCCTGCAAAATTATAGAACAGTTGATATGGGCAAAAACATCAAAAAACAAACAAACAAATTCACTAGGAAGGAGAGGAGCACATTCACATAAGCATCCCACAGTCTTTCATCAGCTGTTATCATCTGTTGTATTTCATCCCAAGCAAACCCACTCTGATTAATCAGAATCTTCATATCGTTGAATCTCTTTCTCAAAGTCACATGACGACCTTTTAAGACATCTTTGTCATACTGGGACCCAAATTCTGCACTAAATTTGACCACTATATCTCTCCAGGTTAATCTATCAAACTTATGATTAACCATGCTTCCATTCCGCACTTCCTGTAACATTAAGTCCATAAAATACCGATCCATTGGTGGTGTCCAGTCACTTCTCCAGTGAAAATTTTGAAATTTGGTGCCTTCAAAAAGATATAGATAGCATGAACATAAAGGAAATGGGCATTACATATACCCTTTTAAATACTTTTAATATACATACTAGGTGAAAATATTGTATATTAATCACAAATAAATAAAGGGAAAATAATCTGAGTAAACTCTCTCTCCCTCCATTAGTGAAGCAAAATCACTATGTATTGTAAACAGGAAGCATGCAAGTAAGACATAAAAAATACAATAAGTTAGTAAAAATGAAAACTTACTGTAATCCTTGTATCCAAAATTCTGATTAGCTAGATTACATGTCAACTTAGTTTCTGAATTTCCATAAATCAAGCATAGATCATTATAATTTGGCTTTCGATGATTTCTGTAATAGTTTGCATAAGGATGCTCCTGTATATCCAAGGTCAGCCACCAAGAATTGAAGCTCAAAAGTAAGACAAAAAAATAAGTATAACTCACCTTAATATAAACATCCCAAACACCATCATATGCAGTGATCATTTGCTGTGTTTCATCCCATGAGAACCCTTTCTGATCAAGAAGACTTCTCAAGTCTTGGTATATATTTTCCAAACCCTTACAACAATTCTTAAGGTAGTCTTTGTCAAACTGTGTACCAAATCTTTCCTTGAGCAATACAGTCATCTCTGACCAGGCTTGATTGTTGAGAACATAATTAATCCGGTTCCTCTTCCGAACTTCTTCTAGCATAAGGTCAACAAGGTAACGGGTCATTGAAGGTGTCCAATCTGTCATTGAGTAGTCACCTAACGCACAGTCTTGGGTGTCCTTATCAACTCCTACAAACCAGAAATAGAAGTAAATTACTCCCATCAATTAAATATGGTTCAGAATGTCCACCGCCATTTAATTTAGGGGTAAAGAAGAGAGATACCCATTGTCAAAATTGGGCCATTGCTAATATGATCTTCACTGCAAGAACGACTGCATCTTCCTTCAAAAATTTCATGTTCATTTCATGTATCAAACATAATGTGACAGATTGGAACAAAATTACTTCTATATGACAAAGCATCAGGATGCACCTGCATTTATCTCACATAAATTATAGTAATACATAAAAAGAGCACCACGGACAATATAAAAATTATACATTGCAGTTCCACACTTCATCTTTATCCATTATCACTTCTATTGTTGATATCTAAAACAATTATTGCTATTATCACATAATACCTATATTAGGGTCAAGTATTTGCCTAAAAAAATTTAAAAAATTTAGTATTGGATCTACTATTTGACATTAAGTAGAGTCGAAATCATAACTTTATAAGCTATAAATGATTGGTACCTATGAATTAAAATGAGACTGAGTACATTGATCTAGACTTGTAAGTAACCTCTATTGCTTTTACCTTCCTGCATAAAATTGCAATGCGCATTGCACATAGCATTGTCATAGATTGATCCCAAGTCTCGATAGTTAACCAAGGTCTTGTTCCGATAGGAGCTAGCATGTGGATGTACCTACATAAACAACTAAAGTAAAATATGAGAAAACAATGAATTAGGTTATCATGACATAATTGTATACCTTGATATAATTTTCCCAAACATAATCATCAGCAACAATCCTTTGTTGGTTTTCATCCCATGAAAAATCTTTCAAGTCAAGTAGACTTTTTACATCAGTATAGTAATTCTCAAGTTTATCATAACGGTTTTTTAAGAAGCTTTTATCATATTGGGCATCAAATTTTTTGTTGAAGAACTTAAGCATATGGTTCCATGCTTTTCCGCAGAATGTATTACGGATCCTATTGCCATTTTTAAGTTGTTCCAACATAAGCTTCACAAAATAACAGTCCATAGCTACTGTCCAATCTGTTCTGGTAACTGGATCTGGATTTCTCACGGAAACTCCTGCAATTTGTAGTTCTAGTCAGTAATTACCTGTTCATACTGGTCAACACTTTTCTTGAAATATAAATTTAATCAACAACAAAAAATTTGCACTTCAGCTTGCTTTAAAATTCAGAAAATATCCAAACTAATTGTAGCCCATGCCTGAACTGCAAAGGGAAACTAGAGGAAAGGGGGACAATCGATAAAGTAGGGAGTACGGATCAGCAAGGCTAAATACTAACAGTTAGTGAATGGTCCTAGGTTAGGTGAGATATTTTTGTTCCCTTTTCTTCCTTTCGATTCCCTTTGATCTTTCTCAAATATTGATGGCTAGCTTATCATAGATAAGTTCTCATGATTACAATCTTTACACAGGATAATGCTGTATGAAGGCTGCATAAGTTGAAAACATGTTGTCGGAAGAAAAAGTCTCCTTATTTATCCAGGCAATTGAATAGCATGCATTTTCACTCTTCAATGACTGTATGACAGAATAGTTATCAGCAAGACAGTTCAGGAGCATACAGGAATCTAGAAACCTACCGGTTCCAGCTTTCACCACTTGATCGTCATCAGCAAAGACCATATCATGACTTGACAGGCTATATCTTCCATCTGCACTTTTATGTGCATATATTAAACACAAGTCTTTGATGTTCACCGGTGCTGTACTTCTGTAGGCTTGTGCATGAGGGTGTGCCTGCATGCCTGCCAATCAATTTATTTTGCAACATGGTAGAGAATTAGAGAACATAATGCAAGCAAGCAAGCATAAGGTGCACCTTGATATAGGCATCCCAAACATGATCACTGGCAATCACCATTTGTCTACTCTCATCCCAGGAAAACCCATTTTGTTCAAGAAGATTCTTTATGTCATTGAACTGCATCCACAAAGACGTGTAACGACTTTTGAGCAGATTTACACCATAAGAAGATCCAAAGTTAGCATTAAACAAGGCCAGCATTTCATTCCAAGCTTGTTCGTTGAAAGTGTAGCCCATCCTGTTGCCCCTATGCACCTGATCCAACAATAGACCAATGAAATAGCTTTCCATTGCAGGGGTCCAACTTGTCCCTGATGGCTCACTGCCCCTGGGTATACGGCTCTCCATTTCTCTCTTCTTACAATATAAATAATCAAAACTTCACTAATAAAACCAATTTTGCTTCATGTGTCACTGGGATCAGTTATTTGAATAACGAGCCACCACGAAAACTGAACAATGAGAGCATAATTATAGTCAGAAAACGAACAACGATCAACAAAACCATGGAATTCAGTTCGAATTTCGAAGCAAAATGGCACAGAAAATTATTTTCGTAAACGGAAAGAATAGCAATTACGAGGCAATAATCATTCAAAGAATTAGAAAATGCTGGAAATGGATTTGGTTTCTCTGAGTGACCAAACAGCAAATTCATCCGATAAATTAGGGAAGGGTAGTTACCTTTGAATTTCTGAGGAGCAGACATTGAGAGTGAGGGACACTATTTCTTCGGTATTCGTAGCTCGTGTTCGAGCAGGCTCCCAAAGCCAAGTTAATTAAGGTATTTTTCTGAATTTTGAAAATTAATTCAACAGCTTAAACAAATAAGAAAAACGGTCCTCTCAGTCTCACACCCGGTGTAAAACGAGTAGAAAAATAAATAAATAAAATATAAATATTAATAATGTAAAAAATATACTAATTGAATAAAATAATCATAATTATATTTTAAAATATATTTTTAATGTGTGCTTAAATATATATATATATATATATAGTAAGCTTTTTATTTGATTTCATATAATATCACAAAATATAACGTATTGACATTAATAACACTACAATTTTAATGAAAATTTTTTTATTATATATTTGTAATTATATGTCAATAAAATTGTTAAAAAAATATGTGAAATAGTCCCGTATAGAAATTTATATTTTTTTTCCCATGGTATATTTTCTATATATAAAGTTTGAGTATAAATTGATTTTAATTGGTCTAAGCAAAATATTTATTAAATATTTTAGCAATTATTTATTTATCTTTTCGACAAAAAGAAAACTTATTTATAGAACTCGCCTTTTTCCGTATGAAACCATTACAAGGTATGCTTTGTTAATTGTTATTTTTAACTTTTTTTCTTTGATATTTTAGTATTTTTATATTATTTATTTATTGTTGGTATTTTATAAAATCAATAAACAATTAATATTTTATATAATTTTTAATAACTAATATTTACTTAAAAAAATAATGAATAAGTGAGATATAATTAATATAACAAATAAAAAGCATAGTAAGAAGTTAAATTTTAATAAAATTTAAAAATAATTATTTTCCTAATTTTATGCAAAAATTTGAACGTAAAAAAATTGAAGGGACAATCACTTAATCACAGAATAATCATAATAATAATAACACACTCGCACCAAAAAGGAGAAAGAAAAAACATGCAAATTATTCTTCGAAACACATTAATTTGACTTTTTGTTATCATTGTACCTCGTTTACCAGAATAATGATGTTATTTCTTAAGTAACACTAAGAAAAACTCTTGTCTTTTGACTTATTTTATTTATCATAATAAAATATGAAAGATTTGTTAATTTTTTAATTTTATCTAACTTAATTCATTGCAGTCAAAATTACCACAGTGAATGATCCCACTGAATAGATTTATACACATTTATCTAGTAGCTCTCATATCACGCTGTGCCACATCATTAAATAGAGTAAATAAATCTCATTTGATTTCAGGGAATTGGGGTTCAAATGCTTCTACAGTCCAATTGGATGGCGTGTTAATGATAAAAAAAAATAGCTACTAGAAATTCTTCATCATTTAAACGATAAGGAAAAGGAAAATGATTTGCGTGAGAAATTGTACTTGTTTTGTGGGAAAACTTTTAGTGCAAGTATCACTTTTCTATTTTTTTGAAAGGGAGGGAGTTCTTGCTTAAAGCTAGAAAAATGTCTTAAGTGAATTTTTTTTTTTCCACAGAATATAGCCAAAGTAATTTCAATAGCTAAGCCGCTAAAGGGTCACTCAGGCGTAAAAGATTTTTTCAAAAAAGCACAACACAAGAGATCCGTTCAAGTATTCCAACTATTTTCATTTTAACTTTGCCAAACAGCATATCCTTTTTCCCATATTGCAACCTTTTTTCCCCTAACCTTTATCTGTTATAGAAAAAGGTTAAAGGTACATAAATACGTTAAAAATGAAAGCTTCATCTGTATTCCTCTGGCAATCGATACCCTGGCATGACTATTTTGTCAGCGAACATTCTGCCGGTCTTGGGCATAACATGCCAGTGCATAGTTAAGTTAAATTCTTTACCACGCAAATTGCTTCCCTAGACATGAAAAAGATGAGAAAATTAAGGCACAAAGAAATCTGATGGCATCTATGCTAGCAACAACATCCTTGTAAGAGTTGTGTACCTGGTCGATGAAGCGGTACTTATTGGATGTATGAATCCAAAACTTTGCATGATCTTTTGAAGGAATTACACCATCCCACAGCGATATCTATAAAATGGCATCTCAAAAGCATAAGCAACATATGTGACAAAGCATATAGCAAAGCTTGATACGTAAAGTGGAACCAAAGATGCAACATAACATGCAATAACATTTCTCATGGCTTCCTTTTGTTCTTTCATTCTTGAAACGGACATCACAAAACTATTCAAATATTTAAATATCAAAATTAAGATGCAAGCAAACAGATCAAATCAAATCAAACCTGATTCATGGAATTCTTTGAGGTTTCATACTCAGCAGCTAAAAATACAAAAACCTGCAAGAATATAAAAATATGTAAAACTAAATCTCAGGGCAGCACTGAACTTCGTAATTTGTTTTAACAAGATCAAACGTCATATGCAATTATCACACTAAACAGTTCCAATAGTTATATAGAAATGTATATTGTACAAAACATAAAGAAAAACACAAAGAAGGGCAAAACTATAGATGTTAGGATATGAAATAAGATATAGCAGTAGGTAAGGCACCTTAAACATAGAAATTTAGAAACCCATTAAGATGGGAAGATCAGAAGATCAAAGGAAGAGCAAACAAAAGTAACAATACAGTGAGACATGCTTCACATCTCTACAGTCCAACATTTTAAATTTCACTCATCCTGCATCCAACCTTCCCAATTTAGACCCTACAGCATCCATACATTTAGGAAGCAAAGAGGGATAAAAGCACAAAAAAAAAACATTATTGATCACAATGAATAATGGAAATTCAAGTCAAAAACCTGTTTAGTGTTCCACGTGAAAAGAGACTGCAAATCTGCTGATACATTCATCGTCATGCTGACCTGCAATAATAGAACGGCTTCTCATTACAGATATTAAGATGCCTTTGAATATCAGAAATACATAAATAAAAAAAGGGGTAGAGTATCGTACAGTATTGTAGAAGATCATATGCAGGATGAAATTCACAGCGCATGCACAGAAATATACACGTGTATACTATAATATATTACAAGATAAGCACTAGATCTTTGGCATGGAAAACAGCACATCATAGTGATTAAGTATTTTGCCATGCCTGGCCACCATAAAATTAAATTCCAAGGGATAGAACCATCCGATGCTTAAAATTATCATTGTCAGTGCTCTTGAAAAGTTTCCATTCGAACATAAAGAGAAGTGTTTTACATTGTACACAAAACGTGACCATCCAGCAAGTATCCGAAGCAATTTCCTAAAAGGAATGCGGTGCTCTAAAGCAAGTTCATACTTGGGCACAAAATGTTGAGGAATTAAACCATCAAAGTGCGTTTGAATTTAAGTTGTGTTTTGATAATAATACGTTGATCATGCTGTAAAGCTCTGTTCTTGTCATTGTTTTCACGAGTGATTTCACCCTAAGCACGATGTCGAAACACCTAATTACAAATAACAAATATGTTGACCTTGAAGGCGTTATATGGACCCATTCTGATCTACTATCAAATTAACAGAATCCGGAACGTAAATTCCAAAGTAAACATAAAATTTTAAATTAGAAAGACCTCGTCGTTGCCGTTGGGCTGTTTCTGAAACCAGTTAATGTTGAAGACCTAATTGCCATACAGAGAGACGATGAAATAATGTTGGGTTAAGGAAAGAGTGAAATAGTTACAGATCAGAGGGAGAGAGAGGGAGAGAGACCTGGACTTGCGCAGAGGGAGAGGGAGAGTTAAGGTTGTCGGAGAGAGAAGCCATGGCGCACATAACCGCCACAAAGGTGAAGGCGAACGTTAACAAACCATTCGCTCTGTAACCATACGAATGCATTCTTCGTTCCTTTGATTCTTCCTAACAAATTCAACCTTTGCTCTACTCTCTACTACTACACTCACACCCCCTCAATGCACTTCATACACTTTCTCTTTTAGGATTTTTATGTATATTTTAGCCATAATTATTGAAACATGCCGAAAAATAATTAGAAAATTATTTTAAAAATTTTAATTTAAAAAAAATCATAATGTTCGTTTGAAAATTTAATTTTTAATTATCAACTTGCTCATTTTATTTAGATCGATATAATTATAAAATAATTGTTATAAAATAAATAATGATGTGACTTTTTTTCGGTCGATAATGATGTGATTGTAAAAATTTAATTGCAAAAATGTGACGACCAAAACAGATATAAGCCCAAGTTCACAGCTGTTATATGGGCTAACTGGCAATAAAGCCAGTCCATATTTTTACGTGTAACTGATGAGAAAGCCCACTTACTCCTTCCGACAAAACGTGTGTGTAAATTTCATACAAGATGAGTTGCTAGTTGGAAAAAAATTATTGGAAGAAACTGTTTTTTTTATAAATTTATAAAATTAAAAGTAAAATTTATTAAATTAAATATAAAAATCATATTTTTTAATTATTAATAATTTTTAGCTTATACAAAAATATGTTATTAATATTTTTCTCTCCTATAATTTAAAACTTCATTGGAGTTTGAATTTTTCTAAAAAAAAAAAAAAATCAAATGGGCGAAGGGTTGAATTCTGGTGTAAAAAAACAAAATTTTTTATGAGTTACAATATATTTAAATTCGCATTAAATCTATTAAATGTAAACTCATTTTAATGCTATAAGTTGTAAAGAAATTGATGTTCATGATCAACAAAGTGAGTGAACTATTAAAATTGATCGAAGTTGAAAGTAGAAATATAATAAAAATTTTGAACGGGGGAAAGCCAATATAACAAATATTTGCTCCATCTGAAACCAGACGCTGTGCATTCTCTTTCGGTCCTCGTCTTATTGTAAGTCTCCTTTTCTTTCCTCTGCTTTCATGGTTATTCTCTCTCTTTTCTTTTTCTTTTACTTTGTTTTCTTGGTTTAACGAGAAAGCCAACACTTTACGTACTCCATGTATCATTGATATTCCACACTAGTAGATGGTTTGCGATCAATCATATAAAAAATCATTGATACTGTACATTATATGCTGAATCAAACTTTGATTGAAAGTGAATGGTTAAGCCGTCAAACAGAGAAGCTCGCATACAATATTAGAATTGCTTAATCATTGCCATATAGTTTAGCTCACGGCTATAATAGAACAATTAAAAATGTTAGATGGCTAGTACCCCAAAAAATATTGTTTCATGGCTTACTTATCCTCCACATTTGATTATTTGTCATTAACTTTACCATTGAATGTGTAAGAATCATTCTTGATATATCCAATTGCAGGGGAAGTCGGTGAAACACTTTCTTTTTCCTTTTATTTCATTTAATCTTTGTAAAGAGAAACACGCACACATATTTTCTTTTTCTTTTTTAGTTTTTCTGTCACTACCTTGTGTAGTTTGGTACCAATTACACATGATAAAGTGTGATACAACAAAACTTTACTTATGTAGTTTGTCTTCAAGAAATGTTACTTTTTTTTCCTTTCACCAAAAGTCTGCACTAGTAAAACCTATGATATTAACTCTCACATGGAGATGGTGCCAAAGGAACGTTAACTTATACAATCAGTTAAAACTAAATTAACGGCTTTAAATGATAAAATTACAACTTTGATGGCGGCTAGCTGTAAGATACTTTTTGTTTATAATGATAATGCCGCATGATGTATACGAGCTCTATGTTTTGTATAATTAATATCTGAAAAAATGTTAATATCAATCTTTAAAATTTATATTAAGTATTTAAAAGTGATAAATTTATTAAAATATAAAGTATTTTGTTTTTTATTTTATTTATATAATAAAAAAAACCTCATTAATCATTACTTAAAACTAAGCATATTGATAACTAGCTGTACTTTACTAAACATCAAACAAATTTTACTAAAATTGTGTTGGAGGAGATAAATTTAGTTTTTTTTAGAAGGTAAATGCTAAAGTTTAAAAAAAGAACGTTTCAAATACTGCTAAAAATGCTTTCTTTTCTTTCTGGTCAACGAAAAATTCTTTAAAATGTTTTCCACCTAGGGTTATGCACCCACCGTCCCACCAATCCCTTGGCTCTGTCCGCAGATAGATGGAACAATATAAAAGGTTAAGAATTGCAAATGACACTTCTGTCCCAAAATAAAAAACGGGGAAAAAGAAAGCAGTAGCAGGCAAGGAGCTAAGTACAGAACTGTGTCTTAAACTAGTGTTTAAGGTTAAGCAGCAAGTGGAGTATATAACATGACAAGTCTCAAAAAAGCACAATGCAACAAAAAACTCCAATTGGCAACACTACTAATCTTAGTAGAGAACCCCAAAACTAGGGTATTGAATATTTATATAATTTCTTTAATTTAGTGGTAATTTTTTTTCTTAGAATAAAGTACCATCTCTTTTATATAATTTTTTTAATAAAATAACTTGAATATAGATATGTAGAATTATTTACAGCAGCATTAAACTTGAGTAATTGAAAGTGATGGGAAAAGATCTTTTACATGGCACATCGTTGAAATTAAAACTAGAGTATTGAATATTATCAGCAACGTGTGAGAACACAAATTTGGCCAATAGTAAAGCCAAGAGAATCTAAAGCATTGAATTATACATTACAGGACGCATGGCTGTATTTAATTTCAGCAAAGGCCATGTGAGAGTCTGTCATTGCCTTGCAGTGGCAGCATGTCCTACTCCTTGGGTTGTTTTCAAGCAGGACCGGGGCAAAATAAAACAAACATCACATGATATGTGAAATAATCTTAAAATGTTGCACATTTTTCTAACACTAGAGCAAAATTTAATGAACCCCTCAAAAAAAGCTAGAAACAAATAGAAACCTAAAACAAACTAGTCACTACCAATTTACATGATGCTGCAGCTCTCAGTGTTCTCATCACTGAAAACATGTGTAATAGGATCCGCCATGGGGTGTGATGGCATTGGTGGTGGCGGCATGTAGTTCATGGATGGATGTGGCCTTCCATACATCATATGTGGTGGGAACATGTTCATGTTTGCTTGCTGTTGTTGTTGTTGTTGTTGTTGTTGGTTCATCAACATAGCCATGTATTGCTGCTGTTGTTGTTGTTGCATGTTATAAGGGTTAGGTTGCATCTGCATCTGCATCCCTTGATAATAACCACCGTTCATCGCCGCGGCTGCCGGTAACCCTTGCACGGCCGGAATATTCCTCATATGATGATCCATTGGACCCATTTGACTCATTGGACCTCTCGGACCCATTGGGCCCATCTGACCCATATTACCATTATTGGTACCATGACCATTATTATTGTTATTATTAACTTTGCCTGTGGCACCACCCTTGCCATTTTTACCCCGGGGAGGGATATCAAATTCTTGGAAGTCAAAGTCAATTTTGTCCAATTTCCCTCCTCCTCCTCCTCCTCCTCCATTACCATTACCATGACCACCTTTCTTTCCTTCTTTACCTTTGTTGTTTCCTTCTCCATTGTTTTTATTCTTGTTTTTTGTGTCGGTTCCTCCTCCTTTCTTGCTCTTTTTTCCTAAGCCTAGGAACCGAACAAGGAAACCACCACCATTTTTTGCTTTGCCATTCTTTTTCTTGTTACTACTATTATTATTATCTCCCCCACCACCACCTTGACCACCCTTTTGCTTTCCACCTTTGTCTTTTCTACCCCCATCTCCATTGCCTTTTTTGCCTCCATTGCCACTTTTACCCTCGTTGTAGTTTCCACCTTTGCCCTTCATTTGTATAGGTAGATCAATGACTTCACCCTTCTTCGTACCCCCATTCCCTTTATGGCTGTTCATGCTCATTCCAGGCCCATTCATCATACCAGCAGGCCCTTGTGGCCCAAGGCCAGGCGCCATCATGCCCATTATCTTGTTATGATGCATAGGATGCCCCTGGCCATGGCCATGGTTATGACCATGGCCATGACCATGACCATGACCGTACTCTTCCTCTTCATCCTCTTCATCATACTCATCAAAGTCATCAAGGTCGTCTTCAAAGTCATTATAGTCATCAAATTCATCAAAATCATCACCACTCTCACCAAGATCATCCTCTGATAAGTTGAAGTTGACAGATTTCTGATTCTTGGCGGGTCCTTTGAGATCTTTTGACACTCCTTTGATATTTTGGAAGTGTGCTAGTTGACCACCACCACCACCACCTCCTCCTCCTCCATTACCTTTCTGACCCTTGTGATTCTGAGACTTATTGTCCTTCCCCCCTTTACTGTTATCTATGTGCAAGTTCTTGAACTGAGGGTAGCTAGCATGGTTTTGATTGTACATCATGCCTCTCTGCCCACCCCAAAGTTCAGCATGCTTCCCTGATCTCTTCAGCTTTTTTATGAGTTTAGCTGGATCTACATGACCTGATACCAACACCTTCCCTTGATCCGCATCTATGTTCACAGAATACACCCCTGCACAACAAATAACCCATTATGCTTTACCACAAAAACCGAAAAGTAAACTGTCAAATCTTAAATCTAATCCCTCTCATACAAACCAAGACAACACTACATACAAAGTAAAGTTGGAAACTTGTAACGCGTGATGCAAATCAACATCAAATGAAGGATAGTTTCAAAACATTGGGGAGGGGGAGGTGTTAAGCATCATGCTGAAGTTTGTTTGGATATGAAGCAAATCAACATTAAATGATAATTTAAAAAAATAAAAAAGGAGGGTGGGTAGGAGAAGCGTGCCAAGGAAGTACCATCAATTTTCTGAAGCAGTTTCCTTACTTTCTGCTCACAGCCATCACAGTGGATATTGACCTTGAGAAGGCAATTCTATAAAGGAAATAAACACACCACAAATCAGTTTGCATAAAAACTCTACTCCAGGGACCAAAAAAACAAAACAAAGGAAACAGATTTATCTTTAACTTAAAGAACACAAGACTCAGAACTAGTAAGAAGCGTGCACCTGAATTTTCATCATGTCTTGTTTACTCATCCTTGCAGGTTTCACAGAACACAGAGATGTAAGTGAGTAGAGAACAAAGAGTGTGAGACTAGTGTTTTGAGAATTATTTTTTAGAGGGAGTAAAGGGTATTGTTGGTACGCATTGGACACTTCTATATTTGTTCCTTTGCTCAAATATCCGTACTGTTTAGGCTCATTCACACGTACAACAAAGTCACATTTTAGAGAGAAAGAGAGAAGGTGATTGCGGAAGCTGCAAGGTAATAAACAGCTTGGAACTAAGATAGCTTCTCTGTGACTATGAGTTGGCTTTATGTTTTATGGTTTATATATAAATGAGAACTCGTGATGCTTTCAAAGTGGTCTCACTGACAGCTTAATACTGCCATTGTTGCACTAAATAATTAGAACCAAATATCTTTTTAATATCTGTTTCTCTTTTTAAATAAAAAAGACAACGTGACTGATTTCTCTTTTTAGAATTTCATCCTTTTCAGCCCATCAACTTCTGGGCTGGCCCTCCTCAAATGGGCCTCTAAACAAATTCACATACATTATTTTTAAGAGAAAAAATCAGTTATTTTTGTCAAAAACACAAATAAATTTTCCCAAAAATTAAGCTAAATTTAATTCATCATGAAGTTAAATAAATTTTTTAACGAGAGATAATTAAAAAATTGGTCCAAAAAACAAGACTAAAGAAAAAGGATTGTAACAACTTGTGTAGTGTGTGACCTTGCGTGAAGGCAGAACCGAGGCCCCTCTCTCTCTCTGTCAACTTCATTAGTCAAGTAACTACTTGAGAAGTTCAATTCTTCAAAGAAATATCTTGAGCCGCGTTACGTTAACAATACTCTAGTCACGTTATAATTTGTGATTGGAATCTAAGTCTTGATGAGGTAATATTGTTTTATTCGATTTTCATTTCAAACTTGGATTAAATGTTTTATTTTAACCATATTATTCTCTACGAGGGACAATCAAATATAACAGTAATTATAGGTAACAAAAATTTTCTTTTAAAAGTTTAATAAAACCATGTTCCTAAAGTCTGGAACTTAAAATTACAAAAACAACCTGGGGCAACTCAATTAATGAAATATGTGGTTTTGCTTTTATTTGTTTATGGGGAATGATTATTAAACTATTACTTTTTGTAACGTATATTTGTGTTCTTACAAGTTACTAGAGTTTATCGATTAATGTCCCGTTACAAGACTGTGCAATAAGAACATGTTTTGGAGTTTCACAAAGGAAGCAAGACAGCATGGACCAGAAGACTTGTCAGTCAAGGTAAATAGTGATTCTGAAATTTAAAGACGAGATTTGGGTTTGTGTGTAAAAGCAACGAACATAGGGACCTCTCAAAACTCATCCCGATGGTACTGACATACAATACAGCCAATCACTACACTCTAAAATAATGCACAATTTTTTAAAGTATGAGAGAACACTGAACAATGATCTGCGAGTTTGGACCCTGCTTTTGCAACCAAAATCATTGTTTGTCTTCATTAAAAGTCCAACTTGGTGGAAATTTGCTGTCCTCATATCATCTTTTTTATCCTTTCAAATTTAAAAAAATTGCCGTAAAAGATATCTCTAATTTACAAAACACAACCCCACCACCATGGGATACACCTTCCAAAAAAATCCAAAGTTTATCAAAATGCCTTTGTTTTCTTAGGATCTACGGGTTGGTTTGTTTTCATATAATTTGCTCCACTTTCCATTATACTTTTTTTTTATTCCTATTACTTGAATATTTAACTAGTGTATGGTTATCATTCTTAGTTGTTGTTGTACTATACACTTGTATGATTTGAACTCTGTTTTCTTATCATGGCCGAACAGTTAATGGGCAACCCCTTTCCATTGTTTGAAGATCTTGTGATCAACTTGTATGAAAGGAATAGAAGATTCGCTTCTCAAAAGTTATCCACTTCAGTGGGGTGATTTTGCCTCTTGATCCTTTAATTAGGTGTGGTGCCACTCTCATCAACACATACAAACTCTTTTTGAAGTTATAGATTTTACTCGTGTCTTATATAACACATTACTGGACTTTTATATTTCTGTGAGTGAATGACAATTTTTTATTTAAAAAAATAGCAAATACTATTTTGACTAAAGACTTTATTTTATTCAACAGTCCCAAATAAGGAAATTTGTTGCATTATTGATGGTACATACTAATAAGAACAACCTAATAAATACTTATCTGTCAGCCAACTCATATTCCCAAATTATCCAGGTACAAGTTATTTGACTAAGGACTGGTTAACCCAAGTGACATAAATATGTAACTATTGGATAAATGGAAGATTAAAATACATTATAACTATAATGAAATATCTCAATCAGTGACAATTATGAGAGGAATGACACATAATCTTGGTATCCCTCTTCCAGAACCTCCACTATTAAAAGTCTGGTTACATTTCCTTCAATATATATACCTCGATCGTGTGCAACCCAAAGACAGCGTTGGCTTTTAGCATACCACCCCTGAGGTACATTCAATAACATATTAAGATTTAAATAAGGGCTAAGAAATATTTTTGATTAATTTTGTATAACTAAATGCAATATTTTAAAGCTAAAACGGAATGTGTATAATTAGGGATTTCCTTAACAACAAACAAAATGGTAAGTGGCCCTGGCCCAGCAAGAGTAAAGCCACAGTAAGGGATAAGGAAGCCCATCACAGGGTAAACTCAACAGTTGTAATGTTTTTTGCTTAATTAGCTAGAATTTAGCATATAGATGTTTCAATCGAAACGAAATAATTCACTGGATTGAAGCTTCTGTCTAAAGCTGTTTTCTATTAATCCTTTCTGTCCAGAAAATGACCTGATTAATCTAAATGTCGATGTTGAATTGATGTTTCACCTCCTCAATTGATATATAATTTGACATGTATTTGCAAAATAATTAAGTCATAGAAACTAGCAATTAGTGATATTCACGATTCGATTTAATTTGATTTGTAAAGAAAAATCTTTGATTTGAATATGATATGAAACTTGATTTAATTTAATATGATTAAAAGAAATTTAAAGATTATATTAGATGGTTCAACTTTTTCATATCTTTATTTTAAAATACGTAATTAATATTAAAAAGATTAAAAAATACACAATAATCATAATCAGAAAAATATGTTGAACGTATGTTTCAAAAATATGTTTAAACAAGCACATGAAATTTGTTGAAGATGTGCTTTAAAATCAAGATGTTACAATCCAATAGTTGATGATAATGAGCATAATTTGCTATTTTCATTATTGTTTTTGAAGAAGGTTTTATCTAACTATTATTATGCCACAAAGGAAATCATAATATCCCACCTAAAATGTAGTTAAAAGCCAATAAGGGTTGCATTTCTTCATTATCAAACAAGTGAACATCCAAAATTTTAAGTAATGGGAATAAAAACACATACATATCATATCATATAAAAGTAAAAATCGTTTTGGGGTCTAAGCCCCCAAAATCTTAGCTCCGTCGACCACTCCAATTGGAGATATTTGTTTGGTCGGTGGCCAATGGTGATAGAGTGGACAGTTCATAGGATAGCATGTGTGTAAGTAACACTACTCTTTTGAGTTTGAAAATATAGTACAAAGCAAAATCTGACTTCTACTTGGACCCTAAGCTCCTCAAACCTTAGCTAAAACAATTCACGCAACTAGTAGTATCCATAAACCGATCTATTATCGTGCATATATAAAATATTTGACATGATTCAAAGTCCGTATTAGCAAACCTTGAAAGTTGAAACGACGATAGTGGAAGTAACACTCGTGACCCAACTTAAGCACTGCTACAGTATACTTGGACGTGGTCACGTTGAATTGATTAATGAAGATTACTTTTTATTAGTGAATAAGATTTGACATAACACCAAGAGAACAACATTTGGGGGTTATTTTAATCAGAAATAGGGGATAGTGACGGATATTTGGCGGTGGGTATTAGAACTGAAGTGAGGTCCTTATCAGAAGGAATCAACTACCTTTCATAGAGGGACAAGTGCCCCAGAAAGGCAGGGACTAGTTCATGAACTTGACAGATAAATTAAGGGGTCGGGACCCCAAACCGAAAGGCCCGGTTTGGTACAGTGGAGTTGTTGGGTAATCACTTCACATATACAAATGCTTTTATGAGATTGGCTTTGCCCCCAATTCAATTATTGCCTCTGCTACCTGCTAAGCTCATCCCATTCACACCATCTCTGCCCATTCTAACCTCCTAACACACCCCTACCCCTACCGGTACCCATACCCGACCCATTACTCACTACGCACGCTCAACCTCAGAACACTTTCTTTCTAGTTTTGTCATGTATATGACCATTTGACCATAATGTCTGCCCACAACCTCAGTCAAATTTCAGGTCACAAAGCTTGATCGTGTCTTTTTGTTTGAAAGTAAGTTAAAATAATCTATAAAATGGATCTGTAATGTAAAAAATATAATTCATAGCATAATAATATAATCTATTATAGTATATGATAAATAGTTTGATTTATTTAAAATAGAAGAATGTCACAACTATATTGTTGTTGTTTAATATGCAGCAATCCCTACACAAAGACTCAAATCCTTGAGAAGGACAGGATAGTTACTGGCTCACTGGCTTCTTGTTGCTTTAGGACACTAATTAAGACTTCAGGTTTTGAGATTTGAGACTACAAACTTGACTGTGCTTTCGGTACCTTTTTTTATTTTATTTTTTTACCTTAATATTCGAAATTCTGACAGGGTTCGATCCAAATTCAACTTTAATGTGATAAAAATATTAACGTGGGAAAGAAACTGTTGTTTTACACTTGGTTGTCGCGGCTGATATTCTATATTCCCACTTTTGTTGTGGCTTTTTATTCTTTTGGGAGTGTGTGTGGGGAGCAGGGCCAGACACATAGGCAGTGAGTTTTACTTCATGTAAGATACGAACCAACACACTACCCAGAAAAAAAGGTAATGCCACATTAATGCTCCTTCTCTGACCACTTTGACTCGTGTTTTACCTTGCTTTCTCGAACAACGATGCAACGTAACATGATTCATTCGTTTGAAAAATCAAAATACACATCCTTCTGTTCAACCTCTCTTGTCACTATTCATTCTTACAACAACCATACAATTTTTATTCTTCAATAGAAAGTGGAAAAATAAACATAAATGCCTCAATTTTTTGCATCAGAAATCTAGAACTCCATGCGTGAAGTCGAAGGATGTTCTTGTTGTTCACAAGAAGACTAGAGTAGACCCTAGTCAACCAGTGCATTCTTTAGCCCAAGTTGATATTTAAGCAACCAGATAGACATGTACAAGAATATTTTGTTTTAGTATTGAAAAGAGGGCAAGTG